TGTGCGCGGTCCTCAGACCCCTCAGCAGTGATAGCTCATGCTCCATCTATTACAAACAGAGACCTACTTCAGAAGTGTAAGTTGTGATTTTAAATGTATATGTTTTAGTTCCTGTAGTTCCTGGGTGCGCTTTCTTCAAGTTTAAATGATGCTTTTTTTTTTCCACCTTCTGTTACTGTAGGCACATCTGAACTTGTTTTCTTCCCTCCACCCAGTTTGATTTGCAGCTTTTGAGGCAGCTGTACTAAGAAAGATTTGAGTATATTAATAGGGCTTAAAGACACTTTTCACAGTGACCTTTAAAATATCTCAAGCTGTGAACTAACTCTAGTCTGGAGTGGGGAGAACACTTCAGCTTGAGGTTTCAGGATAAATGAAGCACAGCACTTTTGTATGCTTCTCTGTTTTTATTGTACAAAATGACGCAAGTAGTGAATTGAAATCTCAGCTGCCTCTTTCTGAAAAGCTGCTTATTTAGGCAGTTGTGACTAAGTTGATGATTTCACCGTTCAAAAGTTTTTGTTTTTGTTTTTGTTTTTTCCTGTTCAGCTAAATGATACCTTTTTTAAAAACTTACTGCTTAGCTGTGGGCCGGAGTTTTATTCAGCATATACTGCCTAGGAGAGTGTGGTACTTGCAGGCATCAGTTGAAATTGTGACATGAAAGAGCCATTGTCTTTGGCAAAGCAGCTGCACTCTTAAGCTAATGACACTGACTTTTAAGCTGCTGTTAATTGAAAAACAGTTGTGAACTGTTGTCATATTCCGACAGTATTTTAATCCACCCATATTTTGTTGAAAGTAAACTTTTCCATTATGTTCTGTACTTGCCCTTTGTGAATAAATGAAGGACGCTTACTTTAAGCTTTGAGCTAAAGTAACCTCCATTTTGCCAGATATTTTATGTCCACAAAGCTGCAGAGGTAGCCGGTTGGTTTAGCGTGAGTAGACTGCTAATGGAGTCTGCGTGACGGAGCTGCTCAGACAAAATTTTGGGTACTATTGTATTGAAAAAGCGTGTGTGTGTTCATGCTAGAGTTTGAACAAGCTGGCATGTCAAAACTTGTCAGAGGGAAACACAGAAATGTATGAAAGAAAACATTGTCCTCTTGGGAATGTTGGGAGGAAAACTATGTCATTCAGTTTTAATTACACCTATTAAGATTACTCTGTGTAAAACTCTTCTTGATGATGCCATTGCTAAGTATGTTTTTCAGGACTTTGAGCACATTTCAAGTGAGCTGATGTTTAAACTTGCTCCGTGAGTTCCTATTAAGCGATTAAATAAAAACGAAGTGATAAACAACGAAGTATCTTCTGTCAAGAGCAGTGAATGGCCTGGAAACTGCTGCAACATTGCGTAACTGCAGAGTGTGTTTAGTTAAAGGCATTGCAGAGTAGACAGCAAAACCAAGATAGTATCAATTTTTTATTTCAGGTTTCCAAGTAGTCGTTTTTAATTCAGGCTACAATGAATTTTTTCCTGTTTCCTCACACATCTATTTCATAATGCCAGAGTCCGGAAGAAATGGGACTGTGATAATGAAAATTAGAAATGTGAATGTGAGTGAAATGGTAACCAGCGTTCCTCCTACTGTAGAGGCATTAAATTTAAAAACAAAAAAAGGTGGGGGGGAAGTGCAAGCATTGTGTTAGTAGATAGCTCAGCAAATACCATTTATATAATGCATTTATGTGCACCGGCAGCATGGAAATGGCCAGAATAATTAGGAATGGGGGTTTTTGCCTCTTTGCAATCTGAAGGCAAAAACTAGTACGGTTGAGAACAATGTTAAATTGAATGGCCTGTGGTATTTGCAGTTGGCACGTCCTGTAGAACATACTGCTGTGTTGGGGCGGAAAGAGAAGCTGCGTAGATACAAGTGTGGATTGTGCTGCCTGAAATGAGGAAGCCTAGAAGATAATGTGAAAGGGAATAGTTGATAAAGTTAGGCAGCAGGCTGTGTCTGGCTGAAGCAAACAATATGCTAAGAATGAGTTTAAATAGTTACTTGCTGTTGGTTCTTACAGCAAATGTCTTTCATTTAAAATAAAATAGAGGAAGATAACTTATCAAGTATCATATGTAATCAAAAAACTTTATGATGCTGACATGGGTGAGGGTGCTTACAGGGAGAACGAATGGATAAAACAAAAAACGCAGTGGCATACACATGATCAGTGTCATATATATACAGTGAACTGAAATTTAAAACCACTGAGTGCCTTCTGACAGAACGGCTTTCACAGGTGAACTTTGATAAAGCTTTCTGTGAAAACTGCGTGCCGTACCTTCATTTGTCTGCCTCATCACCTTGATGGAAGCAGCTTCTTCCCTTTTAGCTGACGCAGGAGGAGAGGACCTGCCACCACACCATAGCCATGCAGCTTAATGTTTCAGTGAATTAGCCTGCATCCTTGATGAACAAGTAGCTGGTAACACTGTAAAACCAGAACATAAGTATGAGTGAAAATCCCTTGTCATGTTCAAGGTGCCACCAGAATCAGTTGTCAAGTTCTGAAGCTTGTGATTTTATATGAAAATATATATATATTTATATAAAAGTGTGATTTTATGGTTAGTAAGGGCTGTGACTAAGAAAGTGTAAGGCCAAGTGGGTCTTCGGGCTGTGGGTACGCAGAGTTGGCCAGCTTTATTTCTTAAATCTAAATTTAAGCTAGAAGAGTACTCACGGTTATCTGTGGTGCATTATTCTAGTTTTTTATGCAAGATATTGTAGGAGGTTTTACAGTGGTTTTTAGTTTTGGCTAAAACTTGATCATGTCACAGGCTGATTTTAGGAGGCCTGGAGTTGCTGATACATGTTGCTTGAGAGGGATGTAGCAAGGTCTGCCTGACAGAGCTGTGGGCATTCTCAAGTGTGCCGAGCCCTCCTCTTTGCCTCTTTAAAATGCGAAGCAGGTATTGGGAAATCCCCTCACCCGCTTTCTTGACTCTGCAGTTGAGTGCAGCAGAAATTGCCCAAGTACATGCAGGGAGGAGTGCCGGGGCCTACTCACAGTGGGGGTGGAGTGCTCTGAAAGAGGTGGCATAAGGTTGTGTTGGACCTGACAGTTCAGAAACCGTGCTGGATGTATTTAAGCAAGGTAGTGTAAGTAAATACCAATTAACTTGTCTGGAGACAAGTAAACGTTGGAGTAAACTGTATGGAAAAGTACTTCCTTTTCCGTGAACTTTGGCGAAGCCTTAGCAGTGGGGCGGACAGAGATCTGGGTGGGATGGTGGGTAAAGCCCTTACGTGGGGATAGGAAGGTCACAGTTCACGTTCTTGTTTTCTGTCTTCGTCCATTTGGGCAAATGACATTAATAAGCAAAGTGTCAGTTGCTCTGAAATGGGAAGGAGTGTGTGTCTGTTGTCTGTCTTGGGGGAGGCAGGGAGGTCTGTTTTGTCTTAATCTGTGTAATGCTTTTGTATAGCATGACTCGCTGATAATTGAGCATGCATATTATGGCAGTGTCCTATCAGTGTTTTTTTTTCCTAGAGAAATTGAGCAGATCAAGATTTGCTTTCACTTCTGCATGGAAACACTTGTCCTAGGTTTGGACGTCCTTGCCCTTCCTGTTTTGTTAATGTGGCCATAATGTACCATAATGTATAAGTGTTCCTCCTTTATTGTGGTTCAATATTTGACACTGTTTTTACACTTCCTAAAAGTACTGAATCTGGTAGCTGGCTATTGACTTCCTTTTAAAAATGAGCCTATGCCAGTAACCAGGGAGGGGAAAAATTTTGTTAAGTAGACTTACGGGGGTGTAATACTGTTATTCAGTAGAAAATAAGGACTTTCAGGATATCTTAGAGTAGAATTTACTTGACTGTCACATAAGAATAGTGGGGTTTTTTGTTGTGAGCTTTTCGAAGAACTAGGTAATTTACTATAACGAGGGCTCAAGACATGAGCAACCCCATCTGCAGACGTCTAGAATGACACAGCTTGAATGCAAGAAAATGTTATCTTTTTAATAAGGGCCTTTCTGGATTTCCTTTACTTAGATTTTGTCTTTAGAATCCTGTGTTTTTCTGCAACTTGTATTTTCTGAAGCCTGGAAATCAGCCCAGGCGCTGTCATACCTTCCTTTCCCCACAGAAAGGGCTCTTGAAAAGCTTGTCCTCCACCATAATCCTCTGAAAGCTTTGCTTTGTAAGAAAGCAGAAGATGTAGCTATTTTAAGTTTTCTTGATAGCAAAGTGAGCTGAAATTCCTAGGATGTGCTGCTTTTTAAACTGAGTTAATGTAAAAAGTTGAGAGGCCGGGCTGGTTCTTGGAAATTATTAAAATTTGAAAAAAACACCTGGATAGGGGAAGTAGCAGTTCATGGTGCTGGGAAAGCATGGATTTCTTACAGCAGCTTTGCTGTCAAAATGAGTGTGTTGTGTAAGAATGCCCTCAGTGAAACTCTTAATTCCTTTGAGAATAGATAGCACAGAAGTTATTTCTACTACAATCTACTTGTATGGCTGTGAATTAGTTGGTCATTTTGCAGTAATGCCTTGGGTGTGTGAAGTGAGGTCATTGAGTATGTAAGTGTGAGAGGAAAAAAAAAGGTTCTAAACCATTCTGTGTCTTCCTCTTAGTGTCTGACACCTTAAAAGTATTGATGCCTTGTTAAGTATGAAGCCATTGACTCATTTATGCTTGTGTATTACCTGTGTAAACCACCTTTAAGGTCAGATGTCATTTTACTAGAATAAATACAAAAATAAAATAAAAACTGAGGAATAAAATGTAGCACAAATGGCTTTATTCTGTAATTGTTGCTTGGATGTGGTAGCATTTAGGAACTGTCTCCTGAGCATCAGTTGCCTAGAATGCCTATGCCTGTTGTTCCCTGGATGGACCCTAAATCTGCAAATGTCTGTTCCTGTATGTTATTGGCAGAATTTATTGCGGATGAAAGACTGAAGTGAAGAATCCGATGTAATTTTAATTGTCTTGGTGACTTGATTTTAATTTGCTTAAATATCTTGTGTACACAGTGAGGAGCTAGGAGAATTCATGGAGATGAAAGGTGCCAACAGCCCTGGGATCCTTGTACTGACCACGGGCCTCAGCAAACCTTTTATGCGTCTGGATAAATACCCCACGTTACTCAAAGAACTTGAAAGGCACATGGAGGTATATCTTATCAGCATTTATGTTCCAGCTTAATGATGATTTGACAACAATTATTTTAAAGGTACATGTCAAACGTGATGGGACCCCAAATTACGTTTATTTGCGCTTCCGTCAGCCTTCTAAACTATGGGCTGCAATGGTTTAAAACTTCCTGTAAAAGCTAAGCGTTTAAAGGAAAACTAGCCAGAGAAGCTAATCTTCACTCCTAGAGCAGTCTTGCAGGTTCTTCAGTTGACTTGACATTGACTGTCTCTTCTGCATAGTACTTGAGGCTTGTAGAAGAAGTGCTGCTTCTCATCTTAGGACCTCAGCGTGTAGAACATGCCACCAAAATAGTCCCCTTGACTGGTACTGAACACTGTCCAAAAATTACCTTTTTAATATGGGAAGATGTTTGGGAAGCTACTGTTCGCACCTTTGCACTGTATAGGTTAGATTTTTGGAATGTGAAGGAGGGAGACAAATAGAAAACGTATCGGTCTTTGTCTTGTCACAGGATTTGGTTTGTCAGTCAGTGACAGCAGAACATACCAGTCTGTAAGGAATCTAGTTTGTGACAAAGCTGACATGCCAAATAAAACTCTTTAAAGCAAAACACTTTCCTGTTATGATTTTGAAATCTCTTATCCACTAGGTCTTGTAAAACGTCCTTGGCTCTATTTTGAGCATGAGTAGGAATGTTACAAAGTGCCTCTTCATTTTTACTTCAAGCGAGACCACCAGTGTTTGATAAAATAAGGCGGCTGTGGAAAGAGAGCAGATAGGACTACAACTTCTATTTTACAGAATTGTTTATTTGTTTTTAGTGAAGCCTCTAAAACTTTTAAATTCATTTTACTAGAGCTAAAGTTTTTATGTATGTTTTCTCCGTTACTTTTAGGATTATCATCCGGATCGTCCAGATATTCAAAAATCCATGACTGCCTTCAAAAACCTTTCTGTAAGAGTGATAAAAAATAGATGGTATATTTTAAGTAGAATGTTTTCTAATTTCATCCCCTTCTTTGCCTTAAAAGAGTGAAGCTTTTTGGTAAATGTTTGTATGAGAAATTTTTGGAAGCCTGCAAATTGATGCCATTTGTGGGCAGAGCTAAGGATGGTAATTTGCTGGGGAGTTTAGCAAATAGACTATTGATGTAAGAGCCACGCAAAGCATTCTGCACCTTCTGGTCTGCCCTCTTGCTTATGCTTTGTCTCTCTTTCTACTAGTGCTAGCATAACTAGAGTCCTGAAGAAGGGCTTCTTTACGACAGTTGAGTACATTTTCTGAGTATCTTCTAAAGGGCATTCCTTCTAGGGGAATGTTGTTGGAGTTGAAGGAGAGAGGATGAAGGGGAAAGTGCTAGTGAAGTTCAGAAGATATGAAAATTCAGGAAGGCTAATTTGAACAGATGAGCTGTCTGTTCCTGTCTTAAAAAAAAAGCACACCTCAGCTGCAACAAGCATCTACTTAATGCAGTCTCAGTTGTAATAAATGTAAAGTTTTGTGCTCCCTGTTAGGAGTGTGTGCTGATGGTAACCTCACAATTTCTGTGTTTTAAAGCAGGAATTTACTGTTACCTGTTCAGAAGAGATCCCATTCTGTGGGGTGCTTTACAAACAAGAGGAAACAATTCTTGTTGAGAAAAATGCAAATGAACATGGGTACAGCTAGCAGAGCAGGACACTTAATAAAAATAGGAACACAAGGTTATACAAACTCATAGTTTGCACCATTTACATGGCTCTTTTTTTCTAAAGAAAGATGCTTTGTTGTATAATCATGTGTATTTGTGACAGCTGTTACACTTTTCTGCTGAGCCTAGCCGTTTTTGTTTGGAAGCACAAAAGTTTAAAACATAAAGAAAGGAGAAATTTGAGAAACAGAGCTATGACTATGACTTTGGAACGGTAATTGAGTCAGTGTATTGAAAGGAAAAGTAATAATATTGAAGTTAGCAAAACTAGTTTTATTAGAAATATTGGTAATAATCATCTAAATGAAAATGCTTGTAAGTTAGTTGCTGTCTTCTGTCTACTACAAGCACAACAGTAAATACACCTGTAGTGGTATTTCTACCCTTAACCTGCTCCACATTGATAGAGTTGATAGAGATGGTATTTTTCCCCGTATTTGTTAGGCACAATGTCAAGAAGTACGGAAACGGAAAGAACTTGAACTGCAAATACTGACGGAAGCTATCCGTTGTTGGGAGGGAGAGGATATTAAAACGCTTGGCAATGTGATTTACATGTCCCAGGTCATGATTCAGTGTGCTGGAAGTGAGGTAATGTCCTTCTCATCTTTACTGTTGGTCTTGCTTTCCATTTTGAATAAAATTAATTATAATCGTTATGCAGCCGAAATTAACGGAATACTTCAGAGGTACTAGCCTAGACTAAAATCTTTCTCTACTGATTTAAGGCTTTTATTACAAAACCTGAAATAAATTTCCTTGAAGGTGAATGGTCTCATCTGTAACATTTGCCAAAACATAACCAAATGTAACAGTTATAAACATTGTAAGATGATTTTGCAGGACTATTTTTAAGTGCATTATTGAACAGGATTTTCCATGTCTAGTTTGTGTTACAGGATCATTTTGCACAACAGTTACTTCCGTGTGTTTTAAGCTAACAAAAACTTCCAAGTTTTGTATTGTAAGGTGTCCGAGACATACTTTTTCCTTGCTGTTTTGGGCGCTTTGCTCGAGTAGTAAATTTTGAAGTACAAGCTTGAGAACCAAGTGGTTTTGCAGAAACAGAATAAGAAGAGACATTAGAAATTTGAAGGTGACACTGCAAAGTCTGGGGTGATTTTTTTTAAAAACAAACCAAACACACAAGACAGAAAGAAAAGATTGTCCTACCAGAAATTATGTTAAAATAATCTTAGAAGCAAGTGCTAACAGAAAGGAAATGTTACAGATTACTGACATGTTTTTACTGTAAGTTGTTTCACTGTAAAATCAGTGGAGCTTTCAACCTGGTGGGGGCTTTTGAATTGCAACCTCATTCAGTCGGTTTTCTCCCTTAGAACAAAGGTGTTTATAAATATGAAGAAAGAGAAAAGTGTTTATGCAACCGAATATTTAAAAATTGGTCACCTGATATTTTTCTCTCGGGTATTTTGTTAGGTGTTTAAATAAACGAATAAATAACATTCAGTAGAGCTGAGGGTGCCTCGTCTGCAGTCATGCCTCTTGTAGTCTTAAAAACAAAACAAAATGCCACACCACCCCCCACTCTCCTCATGAGCTAAAATGTCAAATGCAATGGACTTTGAGAAGTTTCTGCATAGCGTTAGAGCTTTTTGACTAAATATAGAACAGCTTCACTTATACAAAAGCAGTTGGTTTTGGGTTTGTGTTTTTTAAAGTGATAGACATTTGTAAACATTTACTGAAAAAAAACCCATTAAAACTTGGTAAAGACTTCTATTGTTTTGCAAAGATGCTTGAAATTGAGGCAGTGGCTTTGTCAAGAGTTATATTTGTTTTGTCATTAAAATTAAAATGCTATACCTTAATGCTTTTCTCTTTCATTGTTTGTCTATAGCAGTAGATTAAGAGTAAACCTTCTCCTTCCATAAAAATAGTCCCAAAGCAAAACCACAAAGGACAACTTTATAAGTGAAACCAGCAAATTAAAACCAGAACAAAGTAATGAATGTTTTTGTTGCAAATTTAAGCATTATTACTTTTCTTTTATATTCTTTTTCTACTTTGGGGCATAATCCAACATCATCCAAAAATCTGATCTCTCCAATTTGAGAGACCATGGTCTTGATGTTACCATAACAGCATCCATCTAAATCATATTAAGAAGTATATCCAATGTGTGATTTTGGTTTTGCTGAAATCAGCAAAACAGTTGTTATCATGTTAAACAAGGTCAGTATTTCCCCCAGACTGTAAAATTTCTGTTTTAAAATATTAGGCTTTACTCTTCAGGAAGAAATATAGGCATGTGTTACTAGCACTTTTCAAATAGAAAATCTAGTAATACTGGCTTTTTTGGGGGTGTTTTTTTTTGCTTTGTTAAATTCTGTGGAGAGTTAATTTTGCCAGGAGCGAGTATTTGTGAAGTGATGATGGGGTTGGAACATTGGTGGTGGTTTTTAATAGTATAAAACAGAAAAAGGAGGGAGGGGGCTTGTGATGTTGTATTTACTTTTTGCTTTTCTTTTTTTTTTGATAAGGAAAAGAATGAAAGGTATCTTCTTCTCTTCCCTAACATTTTGCTAATGTTGTCTGCCAGCCCAAGAATGAGTGGGTTTATCTATCAGGTAACGTAATACGTGTACATATGTGTATAAATGTGTTGGAGTGCATTTTTTTCCAAATGGTATTTCATAGGAAAGTTGGAAGGATTATTAAAATTCTTCTGTGTTTATAAAGGTAAAAGGTAATTTCTGCAATAAGAACTGGTCATCTGTTTTATAAACATCTGGGCTAGAAGCCCAGGGTTTGATTTTTTTGCAGCTGTGACTGTCAGCAAGAGGGGTTTTTTACCCTGTTAGTAGTAGCTAATGAGAGGAAGTATCGGTAGCTTTTTAGATCTTCGTAGGAAGACAGTGCTGGTACTAGTTTGTTAGGGCTCTTTGCGGCTCGAGTCTTACCAAAATTACACAGGACTCTTAAATTTTCATTGATGTGAGTTAGTCTGTCTTGGCACATCTACGTTAGTGTTTTATCTTTTGACTTGGAAGAGGACTTTTGAAATTAATCTCGTGGGTTTTTGTGTTTAATGGTCTTTGAGTCACAATGTAGAAGTTGTTTCAGGGCTCACAGAATAGATTCCCTCTGGATGAAGTTGAACTGGAAGGCACACTCCAAAAGTGCACTTGATCCACTACAGCTACTGGAACAGATCAAGTACATCGACTGACATTCAGTTCCTGGCCCCAGCCTGGAGCTAGCCCAGTGTGCCCCCACCCGAAACGCCCACAATGTGGCCTTCAGGTCCTTAGCACCAGGTGTTCTACTTCACAAATGCTCTGCTCACTGCTGGTGGACGCAGTCTTTGAGCTCTCTACTAAGTTTCCTAGCTGAATATTTGTGCCTGTTGCCCCACTACAGAAACAGAGCAACTCGTCTATAGTGCAGGAGGATCAGTGCTGACGGGGTTGGCTCCCCTGTAGCTCTAGGACATGTTTTGCAGAAGCACTTGCATTTTGGGTGTGTAGTTCCAAAGACCCCCGAGAGCTGAAGTTAAAGCAAATGCAGAGTCCGTGACTTCCTGAAATCGTTATAAATGTTCTTCAGGTATTGCTATGTGGTTTCCCAGGCATCACAGTAAAACACCAAAAGCAAGGGAAAAACTGTAACAAAGTTCTAAAAGAAGCCAGAGATTTCACTTGCTGTAAGTACTTCTGTAAATCAGGCTCTCACACAGTTTGTTCCTGTCTCCTGAGCAGTGATTCACCTGTATTGAAGGAATGCTGAACCTCAGTCATTCAGAGTTTCTGTGTGACCAACCACATCTGGTCACAATTTTTTTTTTAAATTAAGAGCAGTTACATTCCAAAATTCATGTTTGGATTCATACCTTACCGGCCATGGTAGTAGCTGGCTTTGTCAGAGATGGTGTTGCATTAGGTGATTCAAGTGGACAGTCAAGTTTCTGTTGGCTTTGTGCCGCTCTTCAGAATTTTTGGCCACTGCTTCATCCCAATATTGATGGAAAAAGATACTGGAAAAAGGCAGGTGAGCTCTGTATTCCAAGTGACATATCCAGAATTTCTGATGAAGGTAGATTCTTGTGTACTGGTTACAGAGGCAACTGACTGGAAATTTAGTGTGTTAACAAACAAACAATATGAAATTAAACAATTTGTCAGGCTTTATTTTGCTCTTCCGTTGTACATCGCTTGTATTTCTTCCTCCTCCCTCCCACCCTGTCCCCCAGGTGCACAGCATTGTTCAGTAAATAAGCAATTTTCTGTGCTTTTGTCTTGGGTTTCTATTCAGTATGGCCGCTGCCCTTTCTTAGTCTTTGACGTCCAACCTTCTGTTGAATGCAAAACTTAATTTCCTCATAACCTCTCGTGTGATTTTGCACACACACCCCAC